ACACACACACACACACACACACACACACACACACACACACACACACACACACACACACACAAAAATCTGCTTTGTCATGGCCATCTTTTCAGCAGCTACATCAGCTCTTACTGTTACGAAGACAGTTTTTGGTAATGCATGTCATCACAATTCTACATGTGGATCATTTACAACAATCATATTTGTGTATTGCCCGTGGATACACACATGGCTGTCGGCGCCAGCGTTTTTACCCAACAACGGTTAAAGAGGGCGTTCTGACTCTGAGCAGTGACGAAGCAAAAATGTGTCCGGCGCAGGACAATCTGTGCTGCTCCTTTGAGATTCTGTTGGAAGTCAGAGTGTTTCCTCCCTTTAATCCGCTGTAGGCTGCTTGTCTGCAGTGGACCAAATAACAAAAGAAGCATTTTTTACTGCTTGTGTTTTGTTAATGAGAAGTTTGAATACCAGTCTTGACCAGGTGTTCGCCTCTAAAGGTTTTAAGATGCTGAAAACATCAGAATAATTGCCGCTGCTACACATTTGAAGATGGCGGCGGTGGCGGCAGATGCATGTAGCTGTGCAGTATCGCTGCAGGAAAATGCATCCCATTTGGCTTTTCAGGCATCTGCAGGTCTGTTTTTGACCAAATTTACCTCAGCTTTAGTGTTGCTGTTACTCTCTATGCTACATAARCGGAAGATCAAAGACGCAAATGACGGACATCATTTTCGAAAAACAACAGCACACAAGCGTCGTTACAATGCGTTGTTACATATAAACCTCCAAGTGTTAATTCAACTAAATATTTAGCGCAGCTCACTGACATTATAAAAGGCATAAAATCAAAAGAGTTTGTGATTCTTGGTGATATCAATWTGAATTGGGCTGATAAAACTTTCAAAGGCCTGAAAGCAATGTCTATAAACTTAGGGCTTCAACAGTTAATTAATGTACCAACAAGATTTGGCAAGACATGCAATTCCATTTTGGATCTTATTTTCACAAATCGATCCTCCATATATGGCATATCTGGAGTTATAAATACTTCAATCTTGGATCATTCACTTATTTATGTCATTAGAAAAAAAAAGACTTAAGA